GGGAGGGGGTCTCTCGTCCTTTTGGCAATGGGCTTTATCACCAGAATTTGTTTCCTTGGATCCTCTTTCCTGGAGTTGCAGCTGGCCTCAGCAGAGATGATGTGCCCTTGTCTATCTTCTTTTTTAGCTCAGCTCCTCACCTTTCACTTCACTGAGTCCACTTGTGTCCAGTACCTCTCCCTCTGGACAGGAGCCTCTGGGGAAAGCTGCCTAGTTGGCCATCTTCCTTCCTCTCCCCCAAGGTGCCCTAATTTTCATAGACCAGGCATGCACATGTACTTATCAGTACTGTAGGCCTAGTCCCTTATGTTGACCACCTCCATATGTTGACCAATTTGTTATGCTCCCTTGGGTGGTCAACTTACAGAGGTTCTATTGTATAAAACAGGCTTCTTGTAGAATGGCAAAATTAAGCCAATTAGCAGATGCATTAAAATACACTCCTAGCAATTTTCAAGATCTTAACATGTCTTTTCAAGAACAGCATTTATTAATTTTGATAAAGTCCACAAATCCTTTTGGATCATCTTTACTGCATCGTATCTAAAAATTTTTTGCTTAACACAAGGTCACAAAGACTTTCTCTTATATTTTCTTTTAGAAGATTTATAGTTTATGTTTTCTATTTAGGTCGACCATGTTTTGAGTCCCTGTTTGAATAGGGAGTGAGCTATGGATCAAGGTTTATTTCTTGGCATATTACAGGCAATGAATCTATATTGACATATCGTTATCACTGCAGGTTCATCATTTATCCCAGGGTTCATTAGGTGTCCCAACATTCTATGGGTCTGGACAGATGTATAATGATATGTACCAACAGTAACTGTATCATACAGAATCATTTCACTGCTCTAAAATCCTCTGTGTTCTGCCTAGTCTTCCTTCCCTCCCCTTTATCTTTCTCTATCTCCACAGTTTTGTCTTGTTTCCCCAGAATGTCATATAATTGGAATCGTCACTTACATACCATAGTATGATCTTTTCCAGATTGGCATCTTTAACAGACTAACATGCATTTAAGGATCCTCCATGTTTGTTTGTTTAGTTTTGCCTTTCAGTTATTCCCATTTTATACCTCCACTTTTAAATTTTATTTTATTTATTTCTAAATTTTATATTAGACAGAGTTTCACTCTGTTGCCCAGGCTAGAGTGCTGAGGCCCCAGCCTAGCTCACAGAAGCTTCAAACTCCTGAGCTCAAGTGATCCTCCTGCCTCATTCAGTATCCCAAGTAGCTAAGACTACAGGTGCCCGCCATAACACCTGGCTATTTTTCTCTATTTTTAGTAGAGATGGGGAGTCTTACTCTCCTTCAGGTTGGTCTCAAATGCCTGAGCCGAAGGGATCCCACCCTGGATCCCCAGAATGCTACAACTACAGTTGTGAGCCACCAAAACTGGCCCCTCCATGTCTTTTAAAAGTTTGATAGTTCATTTTTTTGTGCTGAATAATATTCCATTGTATGAATATACTGCAGATGATCCATTCACTTACTGAAGAATGTCTTGTTTCTTAGTTGGGTGAATTCTGGATAAAGCTGCTATCAACAACTGTGAGCAGGTTTTGGGGGGACACAAGTTTTCAATTCATTTATATAAATACCAAGGAAAGTGACTGCCAGATCATATAGTAAAAGCATGTTCAGTTTTGTGGTAGATTTTCTTTACATTGAGATCTTTAATCTCTCTGAACTTTCTTTTTATGAAATGTATCAGGTGATTAAACTCCCCCCCCCAAATGGATAGATATTTGTCCCAACACCATTTTTTGAATCCATCTTTTCCTAGTGACTGGCAAGCATCATTCACAAACTAAATAATGCAAGGTAACTTTGCAAGCCTGGGCAGGTTAATTGATCTCTCTGTGCTCAAGATTCCGCACACACTGCCCCAAGCACTGGAATGAAGGTGAAATGAGGAAACAGGCATGGAGATACTCAGAAAAGTAAAAACCCAGTGCCTTGGATCATCTGGAGGTGGTGACAATATCAAGGCAACTTTTGCTGAGACTGTGAAAACATTTGTTTAGCTGAAGAGTCTTCATGGTTCATCAAAGAATTCTCAAACCATTGGTGAGAGCTGAAATGTAAACATCAATGATCCCCATTTTCAGGGTATTCAAGTATGGGTTTCAGTAGAAAGGTAGAGGTGGTTGGTGAAGGGGTAAACAGCAGGGAGCCATTCATGAAGTATCAGTCTGGGCACCTTTCTGTCTGGTGGACTTCAAGAAGCCACAAAGACCAAGAGCGGTAGTTCATGCCTGAAATCCTAGCATTTTCTTTCTTTCCTTTTTTTTGAGACAGAGCCTCAAGCTGAGCACCTGGGTAGAGTGCCATGGCTTCACTGCTCACAGCAACCTCCAACTCCTGGGCTCAAGCGAGTCTCCTGCCTCAGCCTCCCAAGTAGCTGGGAC